AGCCTGTTTCTTCATGATGCAAACTGGGTGAAGTATTAGCACCCATGAGGTGCTCAGTGAATGGCATTATTTTAAAACAGCAGCAATGCAAGAGCCAGGAAACAGACAGCCAGTCCCAAGTATTACATACCTATCGTGTATAAGGCACTTTACAGACATCTTCATACTTAATTTCGCTCATGGGATTAGTATAATTATTAATCACATATCCAGGTGAGAAAAAGCGTGTTCGAGCTCTAAGGTTGGGGCAGGCAAGGGTCGGTGTGGACTGGGACGGGGTGGAAGCACTTTTTTTGTGGGGGATGGAGGAGTGTTTGCGGACTCCAGGGGGCAGGGGAGGGCCCGCTATCATCGACTTGCTCAGGCTTGCCCTTAGTATGTGCGCTCTGAGTCAGAATGCATAGTTCAGCGTTAGGGCCACGCTGAGGAGAAAGGGGCTGGGCCCGCAGGGCATCAAGAACCTAAAGGGAACTGAGTACGGCCGCGCTGAACAGAACCGAGCATTGCCGAGTGCTGCATTGCCAAGCGCTGTCGGTGGGCTCAGCAGTGGCTGCTGGTGCCGGCGGCGTGGTGATGTCACCAGAGTGCGGCATGTGGCTACTGGGCAGCGGGGTAGTCGGTTGGAGCCTTCCGGCATTGGCAACAGCACCTTTTATTTATGTAACTTTGAAACCAGTTGGGAAATGTCACCCATGACGCAGGGGATGAGGGAACAGCATGTGCAAAGGCCCAGTAGCAAGAGCGAGCATGGTGAGTGCTGAGGCTAGACCTGTGGGTAGGGGCCACCTGCAGGCCTAGAGGGTCCTCCTGAAAGGTGGGCTTTCTCCTGCGTGAGGCTGGGAGTCATCGGAGGGCTGGGGCTTGGTGATGCCAGACTGCACACTGGGTGTGTGTGGGCGGCGATGGTTGGGGTTCCTACTAGGGCCAGACAGTCGGAGTCAAGTGTGGAACCCAAGTTTCCCTAAAGGGTGTCTGGCTGGTTCCAGGGCCAGGACCAGGACCAGGACCACGACCACGGTTGGGAAGCACAGTTTGAGCGCCTTCCTGGAGCACCATTGTCCCCGTGTGCTTTGTTGAAAACTGCATCCCCTCTCTGAGGGACTTTGAGATTCCCCCCACCCCCGCCCAGCCCCAAATCAGGCCAAGCCTGTTATTCCAGGGAAGCCTAGAGCCCATGGGAGTGGATGACGTGGTGGAGGCCGGGTGAGGGGGATGCAAAGCAAGCCTCCAGGTGATACTGGCCACACCCACCCTGTGTCAGCCTGAGCCACTTCCTCTGAGGTTTTACACAGCCTTTCCCAAAGTTGAGGCAAGTTCTGCACTGCATAGGTGAACGCTGCTCCAAGAAGCCCCTCATTGGAGTCTGGGGCCCATGCCCTGGGGCTCTGGGGCCTCTCTTCAGACCCATGCTGGGGTCTGGTCATACTTGGGGTTTCTGAGGCCTGCCTCACCCTGAGTCTCAGCATTCAGCCAGGTCTCAGCATTCCTGCAGCGGTCCCTCCCTTGCTGTTGGCCTGATTGGCTGGAGCTGAGGGGGGTCTGGCCGAGAAGGAACCACAACCCCCTCCATTCCACCCCATCCCCAAGTACACACATAGGCAAGAAGCTTAGGCTGTCTCCCGAGGCCTCCCTGCCTGAGTCCCTGTCTACCTAGCAGTCAGAGGATGTAGTCACAACACAGATTAGATCCGGTCGCCCCCAGGCTCCCTACCACACTCCAGATCCACTCATCTAACCCTGGCCTACAGGACTCTGTCCCCTGCCCCTTCCTATTCCAACTCATCTGCTACTTGCCTTCACTTGATGCCTTCCAGCTTGGCCAACCTTCTGGAATGCACTGAACTTATCCCGGCCTTTGCATTTGCTGTTTTTCTGCCTGGAGTGCCTGCCTCCCCATCTGGCTCCACCCTGTCATTCCAGGCACAATTTCACTGTCCCCTTAGAGGCGCCTTTCTAACCTTTCCTTCTAAAGTACGTCACTCTGCCCCGCCACCCGCCTGCCCCCGCTTCAGCCAACCTTGTGGTCTTCATCTGAGCACTGTCACTACTTGAAATGTTCTTGTTCTTAAGTTTCATGTGTCGTTATTTACTGTCTGAGGCCCTGAATGTGAACTTCATGGGACCAGGAACAGGACTCCCTCAATTTTGTTCATTCCTGTATCCTTTGGGCTTAGAGTAATGCCTGGAACACAGTAGGTGCCCCGTGGATGTGTGTTATACGGACTTGGCTGTCGTTTATTGAGCAGTGCATCATTCAGAGATGTATTGCCAGGTTGTGTGCTAAGTGCTTTAGGTGCACAAGCTCAGGAAGAGGCTCAGGGCTCCACTTCCTGGCTCTGGGACAATAACAGTTCTGCTAAGCTTAGGAGGACCAAGCAGGCTGAGGTGAAGCTTTAGGAACATGCATTTCCCCAGCATTCCTCCCCCTTCCCGCCCCCACTCTTTAAGAACCCAGTGGTCTGTAGAGTGGGATGGACCTGGCGCAGGTCTTGGCTACCACGTTTGCACTGTGTGTCCCTGAGTGACTGTACTTCTCTGCACCTCCATTTCATCTCCATAATGGGGATCAGAGTCCCTGGCTCAGGGGTGGCTTTGATGCGAGTTGGAGTGTTCTTGCACCTGCGTGCAGTCCCCATCATGCTGAAGAGCTGCCCCTTTCCCATTCTCTGTGCCCCGCGCTGCCCAGATCACCAGCTCTCATTGGGGAGGGTACCTCCTCAGCAGCACCTGGGCCCCCAACGCATCACTCCCCACACAAACCCTCCTCTCACTTTTCATTCTTGTAAACTGACGTCAGTGCTGCTGAATCATGAAGCTGAGGGATGAGAGAGAATCTGCACCGCTGGGGAAGCCACATGGCACACACGGCGCCACCCTAACCCTTTTCCTCTGCACTGGTGTCTGCACAGGGTCTCGGTCACACGGGCCTGGAGTGCAGCTTCCAGAAACTTCTGGGTCCTGCTGAGCCACCGTACATGTTAGTATAGACTTTTTTAAACAAAGAGAAGGGGCCAGCTCTGGGAGGTGTGATCAAAGGGGTCTTCATTCTTAGCTGCTTTGCTCCTGGTTTTATTGTGGGGAATGGGTTTGTGTAATGAAGATGCGGTTTTTAAACTTTTTTAAGAGGAGGAAAAAAAACCTGAAAATACTGTCAACTACCTTCTAATGCGTCCTGTTTAGATGAAGACCTGTTTCCTCATCTGTAAAATGGATGTTAATAGTAAGTCACAAGGCTAGGGTGAAGGGTGAACGTTTTAATATAGGTAACTAGGGGCTTGGAATAGTGCCTGCACAGTAACGCTATATGTAAATGTTAGCAGCTGCTGCTGTTATTATTATTGCGACCGTTAGGTCCTCATGGGAGGCTGTTACCTAGTGGTACCCAGCCTCTGAGGCAGCTCAATCTAAGTTTGAACATCTGGCTCCACCACTTGCTATGTGCCCTACTTTGCTTCTCCAAGCCTCAGTTTTCCCACCTACAAAATGGGAGGTTTCTGACTTACAGGCTAGTTGGTCAGGATTAAACAAGGCAGCACAGGGTCCTGCACATAGTACGTACTCACTAAGTGTCTGTGGTATGCCCCAGCACTGCCTTCTTAGACTTCTTTGTTTCTTCAGGAACTGTCAGACTAGGTAGGAGACAGGGAAAGTCAGAACGAGGACAGAACTTGATTCACACAGAAGAGAACAAAGGGCAGAAAGGTGGTTAAAAGGAAAAGCAGTGATTCCTTGGAGCCAGAGAGAAGACATCACCTCATTCCGTCCCATCCCACCTTATTAAAGGATGAAATTTCCAAAGCTCTCTGAGATCCTGTATCTCTCCTGGCCACCCTTAACTTTGAAGCCTGGAAACTATTTAATATCCAAGACAAGTATGGGCAGCTCCAGGTCTCAAGTTAATCTTCTGCCACACTTTCAAGTCTGAAAGGTATTATTAAATATCAGGACACTCCAATATAAGCATGTCCAAGTTTGCAGAGGACCGTGCTAACTTCTAAAAGTGAAGTGCAACGTCTGCTTAACCCTCAACCTGAGAATGACTCAATTCATTGGGTACGGCAGCACAGCAGAGCTGCCAGCATGGCTTATCTGTCAGGCTGGTCGCAGACAGAGAAGAAGCCATAAAACCCAGGTCGTGGAGCAGCCATTCCCTCCCCTGGCTCCTGAAATACCACTTTCTCTGTGATGCCTGGACACCTGCTGCTGAGGGTTCCACCTGCTCTAGCAAGCCCATTTTTGAGTTCCATGCTGAGGCCCCAAGAGGCAAAGGGAATTGCCCAAAGCCACCAGCAGGGCCCTCCCATCACCACAGACCACAAAGCCTCTTTGAGACTCCAAGTTGTGCGTTCACCAAAAAGTACACAAGACAGAACTGGATGGGAAGAGGGAAGACAGGCCCAACCCTGTATCCTCCATCCCATCTAAGATGTTGGGATTATTATATATTTGTTGGGAACCCTTGATGCTGAGTTTAGAATGTGCCACACCTCCTTCTAAAACCCCATCAAGCCTCCACTCCCCCTCCCTTCCTGGAAGTTATTGTGGTCACAGAATGGAAATTTCTCTCTGTCATCCAGTTCAAACAGATTCTGTGTGGACAGCCAAAAAAGGCCCAAGTGTCTTTCTTCTTTGACACAGGAATGACCAGAGGCAAATCTACCCCTGCACTTGTTTTCTCTGTACAATGGGTTAAGAGCCTTACTTCATAGAACTGTCTCAATAGAATTAAGTAAATAAAAGCAGGTAAAAGTCTGAATAGGGCCTGGTACACATTAAGTGCTCAACCACGAGTTGCCATTTTACCCAGACACACAATACCAAAACTAGACCAACAGTACCTAGACTGTGGGAGGAACCAAGCAGGGTTCTTAGCCACAGAACATGGACCACACACCACTTCCAGCCAAACTGCCAGTCTTAGGATCCCTTTCCCCAAGACCCATTCAAAACCAAGGAAAACCTTTGACCAAAGCACATGCTCTAGAAACCTTTTTTCTTAAAAAAAAAGTTTTTTCATAATAAAGTTTATTACCTAAACTGGTTGTAAAAAATATAAAATAGGATTCTGCACAGCAGAAAAATAAAGCCAGAGACCCTCCCCAACCCCTGGTTTGTGCAAAGATACTGGGTATATGTAAACATGAAGAGGTAGGAGGTACAAGTTCAGGTCCTGGCCCCAGATACAGTTAAGCTGCTACTACAACCAGGGGGACCCAGAGGGAGCACCAGGAGGGGGCACGCCCCTAAGAGTTGGGGAGGGGTCAGCGGCCTTGTCTCCAGCTGAAGAGGGGGAGGGGCCTAGCCCCCCTCACCCCAGCTCCCTTCAACCCAGGCGGGGAGGGCACTCACGTGGTTCCAGGGAAATAATAATTAATTAAAAATAATAACAAGGAGCCCCAGTTAATGCTGCCTGCGCGGCCCGTCAGATCTGGAAGGGGAAGGAGCTCAAGTAATCGCGGAGGACAGGGTTGAGGGGGATGCGGGCCAGGTTCTCGCGGCCCACAGTGGCCACGATGCGCTGGCGACACAGCTCCTGCAGCGGCCGGACGCGGCGCTGGCGAAGAGGGGCCCCCAACATGCGGCGCGGCGCCGCCACGTAGTGCTCGAGCAGCTCAAAGAGGCAATCGAAGCTCTCGCGGCTGCCGTCCAGATGGAAGCGGCCAGCCTGGAAGTGTACGCGTATGCTCGTGGGGCCCGAGGCCATCTTCACGCTGAGGGCGAAGAAGCAGTTCCGCTGGCGGCTGTCGCGTACCAAGAAGGTGCCCACGGGCTCTGCGCGAAGCCGCTCATGCGCCCCGTGCACGCTCAGGGGTCCCCAATAGAAGCCGCAGGCGTCGAGGAGTGCACTGGTGCGGGTGATGCGCCGGTACTCGGCGTGCGAGCGGAACGTTCGGAAGTGTGTATCGCCTGGGGCCGGAGCTGGGACTGACGGGCAGGGCCGCGGGCGCACAGGGGCCACAGGCGAGGAGGAGGAAGAGGAAGGCTCTGGCCGCCGTCGGGGCTCTGCTGCCGTGGAGATTGCATTGTCGGCTGCCACCTGGTTGTGTGCTACCATCCTACACGAGGGGCCAGCAGGAGGGGTGGGCCATAGCGTCCGGGGGTGCGCTGACAGGGGAGACAGAGGCAGTGAGTGGAGAGTTTGGGTGGGCTGTACAGGTGAGGGGCCGCGAGGCAGCCGGGAGTGTGTGGAGCTTAAGGCTGAGCCTCCGACACTAAAGGGTCGAGGTCATAGGACCAATTACGTGCGGCCCCTTAGAGCCTTAGGGGGCTAGAAAATACACTTCCCAGTACGCAGAGCACTTCCAGGCAGTGGGGGCTTGGTGGGGGCAGGGTCCAGCCTCAAGCCGCCTCAGAGTTTGGCTAAGCGGAGGGGGGCGTGGAGAGAGCTGCCAGGGACAAGCCTGCCTGGACTATGGGGCTGGCCCTCGGCTCGCCGCCTGCTGGCTAGGCGGGGGACTGGCACCTCTTCCTAGCGATCTGGGAAAGGCAGGAGAAAAGCTGTGCTGCGAGAACCCCACGCGCGCGGGGGGCTGCCAGGGCGGAGCTGGCGGGGGCTAGGGGCCTGGTGCCTCTGAGGTCAGTCTGGCACTCGGCTGTCCTTTCCTTTTAGTTTACCCCTCTCCCTCCCGCTTCCTTGCCCAGTGCCCAGCTCACCTGGCGGCAGGGCGAGGGGCGCCGCGGGAGGGGCGGCAGGGGGATCCGGGGCGGCTCTCACGCATGCTCCGGGACCGGGAGCCGTGCAGCTGCCACGGCCGCAGCTCGCTCTGCTCGGAGCCCGCCCCTGCACCAGCCTTTTAAATCGGCTTGGGGGGGCGGGGCCCATCTACAGGAGGCCCCTCCCCTTAGAGGCTCCACCCCCCTGCAGGCTTCTTCCGCGCCACTTTCGGTTTCTTTTTCAGCGTTGGAAGCCACACCGGCTCCACCTTTTGCATACACTGGAGACTCTCCCGTGGGAGGCCCCCTGCCCTGGCTTAACGTCGCACCTGCCCTAGGAACCCTCCATCAAGGTCTCTGGCCCCGCCCCTGAACCCACTAGCCACTTCTCGGATGCCTCCTTCGGACTTGGTGCCCCTGTTTCGCCCCCCCCCCCCCCCCCGCCTTTGGTCGCGGATTTCTGCAGCCTAGCCCTTCGGGGTGCCCTAGGCTAGCCCTGACACGCCTCTCCCCGCCAGGTGTCTCAGCACCCAACTCGGCAGATCTTTGCCTTCTCTGCTCGAGCCAGACCCCTCCACCCGACCTGGGGTCCAGCCTGAAGATCCCAGCCTCTGATCCCTCGGGACTACGGCTGTTGCCCTTACCCTGTAGTCCATGAGCCTGGGGGGTGGGAGCCCACCCCGGGAGCCCACCCCCACACTCCTCCGGGCCTGCTGCTGTCCCTGGTCTTGGCTTGGGCTTCCCAGGAAGTCGTGGCCTAACCACAAGGCTTCGGAGGAACCCTTTGGTAGCGCAGGAAGGGCACCTCCACTGCGCTTCGAGTTCCTCAGAAACCGGGCGGGGCCGGCAAGGTCCCAGGAGGACTTGGCTCGTCCTCCCCTGGTGGAGAAACTGAGGCTCGGGGAGGGGCTCAGATTTGCAGTGCCCGGCAGATGGGAAGCTCTGGAGGAGGCTCACCCGACTCCTTTAATTTTGGTGAGATAGCAGCTGTGCACCTCCAAGTGCACTTCGGAGCCCAGTGAAAAGATGGTTCATGTGATGACTCTTAAAACCTACTGTTTTATCCCGGGCAGCCCTCCTCTTCCCCAACTTCCTTGTAGATTCCCCTCCCACTCTCAGTTAAGCATCTGCTTTCACCTGGCACTCACACCTTGGGCTTGGGGGGAGGTGGGGGCTATACTTTGTACATTTATGTGTGATCCAGTGTTCCTGTCTGTGGTAGAAAGGCATGGAGTAGGTACCTGACTGGAACATGTAGCGCATGAGGGTTGGGGCTGGTGGGTGGGTAGTCTCAGAGTCTGGAGGGGGTTATGCAGAACACTGGACTGGCTGAGGGCACGGTGGCTGGCCTCACGCTGGTACACACTGCCCTCTACAGGCGGCTCTCAAGCAGCCTAGCCAGCTCCTCTCCTTGAAGCCCTGATGCCTGGTTTTTCTGCCTGCCTCCTGGCCTGATGTTTCCCCCCTCCTGTTTCCCCTTGAACCCAGGAGGTGGCCCAGAATCAATCTTGCTTAGGACTCCATTGCCTCCCTGATTTGTGTGTGACAGCAGCTAGTGCTGGTCATTGATGTGGTGGTCCCGGGTTGTATGTGCATGCATGTGTGTGTACTTGTGTGCAGAGGGTGACAAAGATGCAGAGCCATTCATGTGCCAGTGGTCAGGTACCATGGTCATTCCAGAGCTGGACCGTGGGTCCAAACTACCTGGGTTCTAATTCTACATCTTCGACTTTCTAGCCTTGTGCCCTTGAGCATGTAATTAACCCCACTGCTTTGGTTTCGTCACCTGTGAAATATAATAATAGTACCTCCCTCATAGCGGTGGGGATTAAATGAGTGATCATGGGTTGGTCAAGTGCTTAGAATAGTCCCCGGCTTATAATGAGCATTCATTAGGTGTCTTGTTGCTGTTGTTCACCCAAGGGTACCTGTGGGTATGGCAGCACATTGGAGCCCACAGACACATGGCCTTATTCCTTATGCCCATCTTAGAAGTCCTAGCCCAGGGAGCACAGATTAGAAGAGGCACAGGCAGAATCGGAGAACAGTTTCACCGGACAAGCCAGACTCCTAGATGTTGGCCATGGAGAGGGGTAGCACCTCCTTTTCTTCTCACTTGAGCTGGGGCAGGTAGCCCAGGCCCAGAGAAAGTGGCCGGGCTGGTCTGGCTCCTGCGTGACTTGTCTTCCTGCCAACGTGTCTCCTTGCCAGGCCTCTGGGCAGAGGGAGATCTATAAATAGCTGATGGCCCATATGTCCTCAGCCCCCACGGACAGTCTCCGTGGCTACTTGGGAGAGTCACCCCTTTTCCATCGGGACTAGGGCCTCCTTCTCTCGCTCCTCCCATCTTGCTGATATCCTCCCATTTATTCCTGTGGAGCCCCTTCATTTCATTTGTTGGTACCTGTGATGTATTGGCCTAAGCTGACTATGTGATAAATGCTTTATATTCCTTAGACCATTGGATTGGCATACAACCTTCCAACCTGCCCATTTTACAGAGAGAGAAACTGAGGCCGAGGGGAGTCACTTGCCCAGGGGTACACAGCTTAGAAGGAGCAGAGCTGAGATTAATACACAGGGTATTAGACCCCAGAGCTTTTGTCCTTGCCCACTGCATTGTAAACTCCCTCCCCCTGACCCGGTGTTCTCAAATCCTGGTCTGTCTTCTGGAAAAATAGTAGATGCCACAGAAATAAATCAGAGATTCACTTGGATCCTGAGCCAGCCTGGGAAAGAGTGGGTGCAGGTGTGCCAGCTTCCCTCTTATTTATGAGCTTGGTGAGCGCCAGGGCTTGGCATCCAAGCCTCTGTCTCGCCCTTTGTGGCTTTGGGCCCTACTAGTCTCAGTTTCCTTGCCTGCACAATGGGACTAGCCCCGTCCTCCAACCCGGCCAGATCCTGGTTGTGAAAGCGTGGTGAGTCAGGTCCCAGTTGCTTAACCCACGTGGGTTCTCTTCAGTGCCAACACTGACGGTTACTATAGCTTTGTTTTCATTTTCTGAAGCCCTGAGTTCAAAATGAAACCAAATCTAGATGCCAAAAGGGAAAAAGAAATATGCTGATTGCCAAGTATCTGCCTCCTGGCCGTTCTCCTGGAGGACTGGTGCTAGGCTCACATGAAGTAGGCGGCATGGCAGCCCCAAGGAGCTCTGAGTCCACAGCAAGATGGGGCTGCATGTGGACTCCAGGCCTGCTGCTTCCCAGATGTGTGAGCTCAGGCAAGCAGCTCTCCTCTTTGGGCCTCATTTGACCCATGCAAAATGAGTTCTGGAAAAAAAAAAAGTGTTCTGGAAGTATCATACCTCATAGAGCAGCAATGCATGCAAAGCCTGAAGCAAAGTGCCAGGCACAGAAAACGTGCTCAGCATAAGTGACTTCTTGTCACAGGGTCATCCCTGTGTCCACAGCTTGCTTGGCCACACCCAGACATGTGATGTGGTTCTCTTCCCCAACTTGGCGGGCCCTGGCAAACCAGAAGTAAGGGGCCCAGCCTGCGGAACTCAGTTCTGTAGGGTTCCGCCCCCCCCCCCCCCCACGCCCAACTTTGGCAAAGTCCTGCTGGGAAAAGCGGCACCTGGTCAGGATGTGTCATCCTGAAACCGCTCTCTCACCCAGTTCTCCTCAGCACTCCTCTTCCAACTCGGGGGGCAGCCAGAGTTCCCATGGGGGTCTGTGCTTCTGGGGGCCCCAAACCATGGGGTGGAGAGCATAGATTCTGCTCTCAGCCATCCTGGGCTTAAATCTGTCACTTAATAAGCATGTGACCCAGAGCAGGCTTTACTTTCTCTGTGCTTCAGTTTCTTTATCTGCAATATAGGGGTAAAAACATATCTGTTTCACTTCAGTATATATTCAGCAGGCATTTATTGAGTGCCTACTGTCTGCTAGGCACTGAGGACTTATAGGTCTTATAGCAGACCTAGGGGAGACAGAGAGTAAATTCACAGGGTCTTTTTCACATGTGGTAAGTGCTATGTGGGAAATAAACATGGAGAAAGGAAGTCACAAGGTGTTTATGGGGCAGGAGGAGGAGTGAGGTAACGCAGTCACGGAAGCCTCTCAGAAATGGTGACATGAGAATTGAGGTCTTTCTAAAAGCATGTGACGAGGACTGCAGGTAGAAGAGCCAGTGCCGAGCCCTGAGGTGGGAGTCAAGTAGCCTGCTGAAGAACCAGGAAGGAGGGGTGTGTAGGGAGCAAGGGGTGAGTGCAGGGGTGAGGCCTAGGGCTCGGCCAGCTGATGGGGCGGGGCCTTGCTGGGAGTCCACCCTGAGCCCACTTCCCCGGCTCGGGATGTCGGCACCCCACCCCCTGAAGTGGGTGTCAAGACTCCTCTAAGGAAGCACTGGGACTTGCATGCTGTGGGAGGCCTGAGCTCTGGGGTTGGCTGTTATGCCCCTGGAGACCTTGGGAAAGGGATTGCCATTTGCTGGTGACAGTTTTTTGGTATTTTGTCTTATTTCCTTTTTCTCATGGTTCTCCAAATTAGGCGTCGCCACTTACCAGATGAGAAAAGCACCATTTAGGGAGCTGGCGGAATTTGGTGAAGGTGTTTGGGGGGGAGCCCCACTTCACTGTGTGTGGTAGACTGTGGTCCGAGCCCCTCCCAACAGCAGGAAGGATTGTGTGCTATCATGGATGGGGCGCTTTGCGGCTAGCTGGGGATGCTCGAGTCCCAGAAGAAGCTTCTCCTCTTGGACAGAGGAGACCGAAAGGCCGGGGAGTGATGACACGAGCCGGTGGCCGGACTCCAACGTGATGACAGGCCGGCTCCTCCACAGTCCTGGGGAGACGTGATGAGAACCTTCCAGCAGGCCCATTTATCCCCGTGTGACAGGTGAGGAAAGGACAGATTGGTCAGAGATGAGAAGTAGCTGGTACTAACCAGCTTTCAGAAAGTAGCCACTATTATTGTGTTCATAATTGCACAATAGGAGGGGCCAGAAGGAGGATTTCTGAGAGCACTGGTTGTGGGGTCCAGGCAGACCTGGTTCCAGTGGCAGGTCCTCCCCCACCCCTCTCAGCACTGGGGCTTCAGGCAAATCCACTTAATCCAGTGGCTCTAAGAATTTGCTCACAAAGCTGGTCCAGTGCCTTT